AGGTAAAAAAAATTTCAAAACCGAGTCTCTGATGTTGAAATAACGTGTGAGAACACCTCTGAACTAAGTCAGCTGGCTTGGCTGAGTGGCCTGGTCAGCCACCAGTCAGCTCTACAGTCTGGGGCAAAGCACTTTATTTTTTCACAGCAAAGAGTGAAGCTCCCCAAATTAGGAGAGCTTCATTAACCTTTCAAGTTACTTAGAGCGCTTGTCTTTTCATTTAAAAAGGAATCACGTGAAGTGCTGCTTCTTGCACAAAACCAATCCGACTTGGGGTGCAGGCAGAGTGTGTCTTCAGGCGCCCCTTTCTCTCGAGAGCATATCCTGCCGGAAATACTCAGCTGGACCATCTACACCATTTAACTATTCGTTTTCCCTTGCCGTGTTCATGTGGAATCAAATTAGATGAATTAAATGCAAGTAGAGAGACACTTCCTCTGGGTGAGGTGTAAAAGAGTGTGTATGTGGATGCTTAATGATCAGGACATAAATGACCACTAGATATTCATTGCTATTATTATTATGTTTTTTAAGTCATCTAGACTTTTTAATGTTTTTTAAGTCTCTAGTCGTCTACAGAAAGAAGAGAGCTTTGGGGATTACCGTGCTTCCTATGTAGATGACCTAACTGTGAGCCTGGGGCACTGCTGTTTGAAATGATGCCTGAACATTTCCATCATTGTAGACAGTTTGCCTGGAAAGCCTGGCTCTCGAGCTTCCCTGGGAATTTCCAGAAGTCATGGGAAACTGTCCAACTACTAACACCATCTTGATAGGGAACAGTTACACACATAGCTGAGGTCCACAAAAGCTAGTCAGTCACACAGGGAAAATGTGGGAGCCGCACCCCACTTTCCAGCCGCAGTGAGGACACAGAGTCTGGCTCATCCTCTAGGAGTAGGCTGGAGTGATCACTCACTGATCAAAAAATGCCCTTCCACCAGTAAATGCAACAACTGCCCATGAAAAGGTAGTTCTTGGATGGTGATATCGACTACAGAATCACATGACATGGAGTCACAAGGACTCGAGAGACGGTGTCCTAGAACAGCAGTGATGCTCCAGGGCCACACAGTTAGGACGCGGCACAATCAGATGTTTTTCTGGCATGCTGCTTCAAAGGAAGCATGGGAGGGGGGGGGGGGCTTGGGAGGGGAGTGCTCCCACTGCAACAGGCATCAGATTAAGCTTGGGCAGCACCCACTTTACAGGATAAGGGGAAAAGCAGCAGCAGCTTTGAGTATCACATTTCCCCTGGACATTTTCCTAAGCTTTTGACATCTGACACTGCTTGTTAGTAAACTCTAGCACATAACAATATCAATGAATATTTAACAACAAATCTTTTTTGAAGCTGTCTTATTCGCTGTTTCTTTACGCTTAAGTAAGCCTTTATACTTTTCATATAAAACTGTTCATGGGACAAGATGATGTTCTCAGGTCTCAGCCAATAGTGTCAGATCTAAGCCGCTACCTTCCAGACCATCTACTTGCACAGCGCAATCCACAAAATTCTACGATGGTCCACCCAACATTTCCATCATTGTGGACAGTTTGCCTGGAATGCCCCCAGTGTTATGTCTACATAACTCCTTCTAGTTCTCCAAACGTTAATCTGTGTGGTGCTGTCAA